CCCATGCTGGATTCCTTTAGCAAATGCCTGTATTTGATTGAATAACTTTAATTTCTTGAGAAACACAGAAGGATGTGTTGAAACAGCAGCTCGTGTATCATCCACCCATGTCAATGCCTCCCTCACGAGTAAGTGGCTGTGGTTCTCATGAGTGTTACAGAATGCTTTCAATGCAAGAAGTGTCAGCAATTTGGCAGGACCAGAAATGATTTAATTCTGTACTTTTGTAGAGCAGAGGCATATGCAAATAGAATTAGAAGGTAACCAGCATGGTATCACAGACCTAGTTTTCCATGGCATATGCTTTGAGTACAACAGGGTGTACTATCAAATCAGCACTTCATAAATCATGGAATCACCGAATCCCAGCCTGGTTTCTGTTGGAAGGGACCTTAAAGCTCACCCAGTTCCAACCCCTGCCACGGGCAGGGACACCTTCCACTAGAGCAGCTTGCTCCAAGCCCCTGTGTCCAACCTGGCCTTGAACACTGCCAGGGATGGGGCAGCCATAGCTGCTTTACACTAATAGCTTACACTGCATAAAACAGCATCAATTCAGTTAATGGCAGCCCTTAGAGTAGGTGATAAAACTCCCTTTAACTTCTTAGAAAGCCATGTGAGATGTCTGCTGGGTAAGAGTGAAATTATCCTCAATTTACTCTTCCATGAGCAGAAAAGCAACAAAATACCACAGACTTTACACTCGGAGCTCCCCATCCTGTTAATGTAGTCAGGGGCTGCAGGCCGAGCTGCTTGTGCCTCCAAAAGCACAACTGCACTAACTCGCACCTACTGAGGACAGCAGGGACAAGTAAGATGGGAGAGAAATAAAGAGACAGAATTCAGATGCAAAGGGAGAAGGGCAGGAGAGGCAAATAGCCTGATGAATTTTATGCATTCCATTAATGTGTGAATCACCTTCAGCTGTTTTCCCCTTTGTTTTGTGATCCTGAGATGCTGCACACCTGAGTTAATTTGGAAGTTAAAAAAAAGGGGGAAATAAAGCTGTATAATCACTGTTTAGGTAACTTTCCTTTTAACTCCAAACTCTTGTTTTCAGATGTTAACAACACAAAGCCTTAGTGCTCAAAACCCACTTGACTGAGCTGAAAAGCAGTTCCACATTCCATACCCCATCCAGCAAGGCTGTTAAAATATTTAATACAGTGTTTGTTAAGCAGACCAAAAAGACCGAGTCCGTATTTGCTAAGGAGTGAACATTCTTTTCTGACTTACTGAACTGGCCAATTTTTGATGGCAAGAACAAAGCTTGAAGCAAATCCAAGCGTGCGTGTGGACCCATGTTAGAGATCTTGTCTCACCTATGCACAGCGCATTAGTGCATTAGGCAGAAGCTCTTCCCTGTGAGGGTGCTGAGGCGCTGGCACAGGGTGCCCAGAGAAGCTGTGGCTGCCCCATCCCTGGCAGTGTTCAAGGCCAGCTTGGACACAGGGGCTTGGAGCAAGCTGCTCTAGTGGAAGGTGTCCCTGCCCATGGCAGGGGTTGGAGCTGGATGAGCTTTAAGGTCCCTTCCAACCCAAACCAGTCCAGGATTCAACAGAGTGCCTCCAATACACTGCTATAGCTGGGGAAGGACCCTCCTGGTGTTTCTTGTGGTGCCAAAACTGCTAGGAAACCCTTGTCCCCCAAGCAGCTCAGTGCCACATCCTCCTCTCCCTGTACAGAGTAGCTTTATGTGTCACTGTAATAGTGAGGAGCAGGTCAAGGTACACACAGGGAATAAGGTTCAAGCACCACAGAACAAGAATGAGCACCTGGATGAATACAGCTATGAAAGCACTGCATCGTGTGTATTGATTTACACGGACAGGCAGGAATAAGAATTGCTTGTGCAGCATAAGCTCCAGCAGGTCAGCTTGCTCTGCAGGAGCACCAGAAACTCTACTAATGCCAAATGTGTGCAGTGCCCTCTTGCATGTGAAGAGCATATAGCTTAGCACAGTGAGCACAGCACCTTCTGCTGAGGGTCGCAAGCACCTCACCTTACTGCAGGGTGAGTGCCACTGCTTGCAGCTTGCTTACGGCTCCCTGTGCTCTTCCCTCGCTAGCACACCCAGCCCAAGCCGCCTCTATGAGCATCTCTTCACAGTCTCCACTTCAAAAAGCTCTCTCGGCACTTTTCCCGAGAGACAATGGCATTCCACATGTACCAGCTGGATGAATTGCAGGAAGTTATCAGGAAACTCAACGCCATCCCTGAACATTTGCCATCACTTCCAGTTGTGCTCCGTGATCTGTTCAATACCTGCCATAGCCGTGATGCAAACAGGAGCATTTCAGTGGCATGAAGTGTAAGGATTCCCTGTACATACATTAACCTCTTTTATCGCTCCGTAAGAGAATGAAGATGTATGGGTGTAGACATTACAAAAGGAGAAAAGAAATCAAGTCCTTGTCTTCCTTTCTAAGCGAAAGGGAGCAGCTGGATGCCCAACAGTAAGTGGGAAGGATGACATTTTGATGCCCATATGTGGCCATCACAAACACAGGTTTTCAGGCACAGAGTCAGTAAAGAGAAATGTCAGGACCACCAAAGAAAGGGTTATTTTTTACTTCTTTTCAGTGCACAACCTCCTTGCCAAAAATAATTGTCCTTTGCACTGAAGGTAAAAGGGAATTTATTGGTGCTGTTCTATTGCCTGCAGACACAAAGGCTCTTCTTATTAATGACCACTGTCCCACTCGTGAAGGAGGTAGGGGCAGGAGTTACCACAGACAGTTCTTGGATCTGCTCTTCATCACAAGATCACCGTCCTCCCAGTGGCATAGCCACGAAGGGAAGAAATTCCCCTATTCCCTCTACAAGAAGAAATCCTAACAAGGATTTAGAGTCAGGTTGCACAGCTTCATTCCCTCACCCACCGTTCAATGGGGTTCCAATGTGAAAGATCTCATAAGAGATGAAACTATACAGAAGCATTGAAGGGGTAGAAAACAATGCTGAAATAACGCAGAACATGCAATTTCCTTCTTCTAAATAACACATACTTCTTACTGCTATTTATTTTGAGAGCTAGGGAGGATTCATTCTCCCTGGAATTCTTTCCATCAGGCACAAATCCCCCCAGCCTCTCAGAAACACGCATCTTGTTTTGCATGGCTATAGGAATTTATTGTCTGCAAGGATGAGAGGGCAATAAACAATTGGAAACCACTCTGCAGCACCAAGTGTTGTGACTGGAGTACACAGCGTATGGAATACAGCTTGAAATTCAACTATACAAACCCAGTTTTAAGCTCAGACCGGTCAGTGTGTTGGACCCACTGAAGAGGACAGAGCAGCCAGCCAAACTAATGCTTTTTATAGTATATATATAATATAATATATATAATATAAATGATGCTCTTTTGTATTATGAATACCTATTCCTTTAAGAAACAAGCCTGATCAAAAGCAGAGACTCCCCTGCACCTCAGAGGGTCCCCACTGTGTAAGTCTACAGTGCTGCAATCACATTTGGCTCTGCCTGCAGCACCTCCCACGTGTGTATGCACACTGGCTATGTGTGTGACACCCAGAGGAGCAGCTGCCTGTTGATACAAACCCTCACGCTGCAAAAACAGGTGATAATGAATTCCTAAGGCATATGCAAGCATTAAGCAACCACTCCATGGATTGCCAGCAGCTGTTTCAAGAGCCCTGCCCTGCTTGCCGTGGGTATTTATATAAAGGATGATACCCACCCTGATAGCAAACACATGTGTAGACACATGCACGTACTGCCCTGTAGTCCCTGAAGGCTTCTGAACCAGGCCTGGCCAGTGATTTGGTTGGTAATTTCAAATCTGCCCACTGTGAAGCTTCCCATCATAGAAAGAGAAACAGAAAGGAGCTAGAGAGAAGTAATAGGGTCTAATTTCCTTGTTGGTCCATAGGTAGATCCTTAAAGAGAAAGTCAGAGAGCTGTTCAGACTCCCAACACTTCTAATAGTCTTCTAATACACACTGTGCTCACGCAATTAGGTCATATTCAGTCTCCATCCCTGATATAGAACAGGAAGAACCCCCCCATTTTCACAACAGAAACCCTTCAGGTATTTTCACTTACAACAGTTTTATCACTTGAACCTTGGAGGAATGTGGCACTGAGATATTTCCCCTCCTTATTCAGCTAATATCATCCAGTTTTTTGGTAGTACTTAGATTCCATCTACACATACCATTCATTGAGGCTGCCTGGAACACTTTAGGTTTCACTGCACCTTTCTCTCTGCAGTTGTCTCTTAGTAGCTGTGGCTGCCTCCTCCTAAAAGGAGGAGAGGGACAGCCTGCAAGAAGGCTGCTGAGGTTACAGAGGAAGCAGTGCTGTGATTAGATAAAGGGGAGTCACCTGCTCTGGCATCAGAATGCTTTGAATTAACTCCGTATCAAACTGAGAATGGAGACAGCCAAGTGAAAAATCACCCCAAAAGTGCCTTAACTTTATTAAAGCAGTTACTGCTAGGTCTGAAAAATAAACACTCAATTACTCATAGGCTCCACAAATCCCTGCTCAGAAGAATTCACATCTGAAACAACTCCATGTCATTAGAAACACTGAATAACACAGGGATCAAAGGCACTGCCAATACAATTATATTATATGGGAGGATAAGAGGGCGGCCTAGACAACTAACTGTGAGTAATTAGGTTGTACTGCAGGCTTGAGTTTAAATACTGCCATCCACCATGTGAATGCTGCAGGTCTCATTTAACTGGGTCACCAAAAACTTTGGCAAAAGCCCACTGACTTAAGGCTAGGCAGTGCCATTTGTTTGCCTAACTTTAGGCTATGAGATGTGAACGCTGGGAAGCGTAAGCAAAGCCACACAGGTAAGGGCAGGAATCTGGACCAGCAGATGGAACAGGTAAGGATTGTGCTCCTTGGCTTTTAGGACCCCTCTGCCACCCAGATGGTGGGTATCTGCCTTGATAACTGCATCCCCCTCAAGCCCCAGGGTCCTGACAACCATTCCACATAGTAATTTAAAGTAAATACCTTTCAGTAGGTAATCCTGCCACAGCGGTTTCTTGCAGTTCAGTGAAGTCAAGGTTCTTAGGCTCAGTCAAGGCAAGCGGGGATAGCTTTCTTGTGCCATCCTGAAGTGAGCTTTCATCCTCTGGATTCATCCTGCTCGGCTGATTTTCAGCATCAGTGAGATCTGTGCGTGCAGAACCCTCGCTCTGCTCCATCACAGGAGTGGCTGGGGAGTGATTTTTGTGCAGGTCTGTGTCCTGCTCCTCAGTGCTCGTGTTTATGGCCAAGTCACCTTCACCAGTGACTAACATCCTTGCAGTACCTGTTTCAGGGACGTCTCCAGTTTTTATGTCACCTGCCTTTGTTGTGCTTAGCACCGTGTCACTGTTCTCTTTCACACCTCCCTCAGTTATATCGCTAGGTTCTACTGTAGAGTCAGTTTGCAAGCAATCATCCTGGCTTACTTCGGTTTTTAAGTAATCTATTAACCCATGCACGGTCCCTTTCTCTTCTTGCTGTGCATCTTGTGGATTTTCCAACGTTTCCAAGCATTTCCTATTCACTGGATCATCCTGTATCCCCTGCACGTCATTGTGAGACTTACTATCATGCATGAAACTGCTGTGAACGTGGGTCTCCTGATTTCCCCCAGGTGATGCATTCAAATTGCCTGGCAATTTGTCGTGATTGTAAGAGCCTCCCGGGACAAGTGTTGAAGCTGCCATATCAGGGATGCTCTTGGCAACATCCGCATCACTGTACTCGCTTTGCTCCTGCTCGTTTGCCTTAGGATCCTGGCACTGTTCAGTAGGAAGATTTACATCCTCTTCAGATGAAACTGGTTCTGTGTTATGCTCTGTAATAAAGTTATTTCCCTCTGCGGTAGCAGCATCTTCTAAGTCCCTCTTCTGTGCATCGCCTGCCGAGGTGGCAGCTCCAGCGGGTTGTTGCTTACTGTCAGACCATGCAAGGAAGTTCTCAGCTGCTGCCCTACCACATGAAGCTGGTCCTTGCTTCTTTATCCCTAAGCTTATTAGCGATTCGGGATCAGCACCACTCGCACACTCGCCTTCCTCTCCTTCCATCTCGCCGCTCGCTGGACGCTCAGTGGCTCGCTCTGGCTTTCGCTGATGTTGCAGAGGGCATTCAGCAGGTGTGCTGCCATCCAACGCAGGGACCACTTCTAAACACCTACGGGGCTGCTTGTTTTCCTCAGCATCCTGGAGACTTGCCGTAGGCAGCTCTGCCGCTGCGTTTCCTTGTTGCAGAGATTTCCCTTTGCCAGCTCTGCAGGAAGCCTCAGGAGCTAAAGGCAGCTCTTGCCCCTCTGCTTCTGAGGTGCCCTCGGGAGCTCGTTCGCCCACCTTGATTGATCCTGAACGGTTCTCAGCACCGCACACTCCTCCTGTATCCGTGGCCACTGGCCTCTGCTTGAAGCCTGCATGGTTTTCAGGCAGCCGTTGGGGTAACTCAGCACTCAGCGTGCTGTGCACGGTGCTTTTAAATATCTGGCTGATGTGCTGCCTAAAGTCTGGGAAGCTGGAGCCGATGTCCAGAGAGCTGCAAGTCAGAGCCTCATGCTCCCTTCCAGAGCTCCCCGCAGCCTGCTCACAAGCGCTGAGCTCTGCCCCAGTTATGTTATTCTCCTTTGAAAGCTCTTCCATTTCTTCTGAATTCCCAGGTTTCTCTAAGATCTCACCGTGCTTGTCATCTGCCCCCATACTGGATGCAATTTCCTCATTACGGCTTTCTTGTGATGATGAAAGGCTCAGCAGCTTCCCTTCTAGAGCGGGGAGTGCGCGCAGAGACTCTGCTGAACTGTCACTTTGCTGTGCTTTGAAGTTTACCTCGCTTTTTGTTTGGGGGGATTTAATTGCAGAGATTTCTTTCTTCAGCTTCTCAGAATTGAACTGCGATAAGTTTGCAGTCCTCTGCCCCACATTTACAGTCTCTGGCAGGGCTGAACTCCTGTCTCCATCGCCCTGAAAACCTCGCTCTGGAACGTCTATTTCATTCACACATCTACCCCCTTCAGAGCTGTCTGGATTTGCTGTGCCTACACTAGGTGAGGGACCTACATGCACAGACACCTGAGAACCTGCATCAATCTCTAGATCAGAGTTCCCTTCTAAGGCATTTTGGCATGCTACAACTTCCAGCTCATTATTCAGTGCTTCCCCCCCGATACCACTGGCTGTATGGTTTCCAGGTTGCTGGCCAGGATGGCCGAGTGCAGAGAGGGCTATAAAATCTGCTTGACAAGAACCAGGCTCCTCTGCTGTGTTTTGAAGGCAGCTGGGTTTATACAACTTATCAGTGGGAATTGCTTCCCTGTGTGCCTGCAATGGTGAAGGACATCCCTGTGCCCCTGGTCTTTTATCACCCTTCACATTGCTTGTTGCTGTGGCAGCAGCACTTTCCTCCATGTTTCCATCACTCTGGATGACTCCCCCATCACCAGTAAGAGTCTTTTTGAGGTTCTTTGCCATTGATGGCATTTTCCCTTGAGTTTCTGTATGAGATATTTGAGGATCATTTTTCCCGGGATTATCAGAAGTATGCGCTGGTTCCATACCACTTGGCAAAGCCTGTGACGTGTTAGTGGCACTTGCTGAATTCCCTGTCCCTGGAAGAGCCTTTATAGCAGCAGCAGCAGCGTGGCTTTCACCACTATTATCCTCTATCCTGCCTGGCTGTTCACTCTTGTCAGATCCTTTAGCAGACGTATCGCTCTGACATGCTGCTTCATGCTGACTAGCTGAGATCAAAGAATGACTACCCTGCTCGGGCTCGTTGGAGTTGTGCTGACTGCAGCAGTTTTCTCCTGCCTTGAGATCAGTTTTGCTTTGCTCATTGCAATCTTGCAAATTAAGCATGGCCACACCAGAAATACTTTGCCCGTGTTCACACATCTCCGACACCGCAGCGCTGCTGTTACCCTTGTCCTTGTCTGTCGCCGTGTCCGGAGTCGCTGGATCTAGCACAGGAGATTCTTTATTAAGGTTGTTTGAAACATCTAGAGGTGTTTCTGGGGTGCTGCTGTGATTATTAAGTTCTAATGGCAATTCAGGGTTTGCTGCCCTTTCTTTGCGTTCCTGATCACCTGCTCTTGTGACAGTTGTCAGACTGCTTTGGTGCTGCTGTTGTTCGAGTCCTGGGCTTGAAATCCAGCCCCTGTCCTCAGCAGCAGGCACTGACCTCTCCATTTGGTCTGCATGGGGAAGAGCGCTTGGAACATCTGCGTTTTCCTGCAGTTCTCCAACACTGCACTCCAAGGCCTCCAAAGAGCCACATGTGCCACCCTCTGAGGGACAGTAGTTATCACTGACACGGCTGTCACCCCCTTCCTCCATGTGAGGAGTTAGTCCTGAAGTGCCAACATCAGCTTGGGTGGCTTCTGAACAAGCCACTTGCTCCAGCTGAGCTGGCACCAGCACATCCGATTTGCATTTCCCTTTCAGTGCCAAATCTTTGTCCTCCACGAAGCCTTCCCCCACAGCCTGGTGCTTCTCTTGTTGAATACCCTCATTTTCATCACCACCCACAGCACCGTGCTGTGCAGCTGCAGGTCCCTGCTCTGAATCACTGCAAGGCACTGCCGTGATGGGACTGTGGTGCTCTTTGCTGTCTGAAACCCATGAGCTCTCCTTGCCTTGTAGAGCCATGCGGTCCACAGGCCCTGCCAACTCATTTAAGCCCTGGAGCTCGGGTTTGGATTTGGAGTCAGATTCCAACACAGTTTCTCCAGCAAGAGCCTTTTCCCAGGGCTCATCCTGCTTACTCTGCTTAATACGATTGTTCTCAGAGCAGAGGGGCAGTGAACTGCATGCACTGGCTAAACAAACTGTGTCAGTCCCATTACAGCCTGAAGTTTTGTCTTCTGCCTCAGTGTTAAAGCAATCAAACCCCAGTGGGCATTCCTGCCTTGGAAACTGTGGGGAAGTCACAGGCTTCTTCTCCCGGCCTGTGGCATCTGTTTTCCCTTTACTCATTTGCTGTTCAGGTTCATAACCAAGAGACTGTGAATTGTCATTGGGTGATTTAAAGCCTAAAGTCAGAGGCTTTGCCACAGCTTCTTCCCCTGGGTCACCTGTTGAAGTCTTCTCACAAAGACCCAGTACTTGAGGATTGTGTCCCAACAGGGTATTTTCCATGTCCTGGTGGTGGCTACTAACAGGGTTCAACAGTTGCCTTTGTGCCCCACTCGACCCCTCAGGTAATACATTGCTCTCTGTCACGTCTGTTGTGATTTCATCTCTCTCCCCTGTTACACTCGCCTTGCTTTCCTTTTGATTCAGCTCTGTGGATCTGCTCAAAGAAGCGCTTAATGCGTATTCTGCCAGCAGTAACCTGTTATCTACCAGGGAATTCTCCGCAGCGGGATTGATAACAAGTTCTGGTTCAGAAAGAGCACTGCTTTCTCTAGACACAGCCTCAGCTTTTATAGTTTCATTGCTGCTGGCTTCATCTTTTGGGCTTTCAGTTGTGACGGCTGAGTTTTGTTCTCCCTCTCGCTGAAATGATAAAGGCAGAATGGAACGCTCGGCACTGACAAGCTCGTCCTCCTTTTGAAGCTCTCTTTGACAAGTGGGTTTGTTTTTGTCAGAGGCTGTTTTCACCACTTTGCTCCTCACTGCGTCTTGAGAGCCATTTCCAGGCACATATTCCCTCGAAGGCTCTTCAGGCTTTGGTACCAGGAGGACAGGGTTAGGAGGCACCATGAAAGCACAGGCTTCTGACTGCTCCCCTTTGCTTGCAGACAGAGCTGGATTTGCCTCATTCTCCTTAGCTGTGGTTTCAACCCCTATCTGTAGATTACAGACTTCACTGATGCCGGTGAAGCCTTGAGCATTCACAATTGCTCCACATTTTTCACTGTCTGAGCCTCCTGTTGCTGGATAATTTAGGATTAAGGTTTCTTCTTTCATTAGCAGACCCTCCCCACCATCTGGGTTCTGTCTACCTTGCTGCATCACAGCCTGCTGCTGACCTGCTTCCAAACCTCCTCGCTCCTGCTTGGCCTCCTGAGCAGGGATATAATCCCCTGCTCCTGTACCCTGGGGGCACGTGCTGACATGTGGGTCCCTCCTGCCACCCAGATGCTCGCTCTGCCAGAGCCCTCTTAATTCACTCAGACTCATTTGTGAGGCTCCTTGCATTGCTGTGATTACTGCAGGAGGGCTGGACCCCAGGCTTGGCTTGCTGGGGTCATTCTCACTATTTTCCATACAAGCGGCAGCAATAGTGTCACATTTAGGGCCTCTGTCCATGGATTTGGAAGTTGTTATCCCCTCTTCTTTGTCATTGACTTGACCTGGTGACAGCAGGGCTTCATTGCAGGTTGAGGTTGGTAAAGTATTGCTGCTTGTAAGATGTGTTGTGGCACGTTCTTCAGCACCTGCTGAAGGCACTGAGACAGACAGACTTCTCTCCCTTGCTCCTGCAGCCTGCTTTAAGCGCTGAGAGTCTGTTTGTCCTCCTTGCTCTTGCGAGGCAGTGTTCTCTCCCGTCACCTCTGAAGACACCATGCTTGAATTTGGGTGGGTTAGGTCTTCAGCACTGCAGCTACTGATGCCTTTGTTGCTGATGCTGCCAACAATGGAAATGTTTGTTTCATGTGAATAAAGGAGCAAAGACTATGAAGCAAAGAGTAAGAACAATCTGTGCCACTGATGTTTCAAAGCCATGCAGTACATGCACTGAGAAGCTGAAAATCTGCTTGCAGGAGCTAAACCATCAGACACACATTACAGTGATTTAAATGCTCATACACTGAAAAATATGTCCCAAATCCACGATGCTCATGGCATGCATGTCAACCATCCCAAACTCTTAGTTAAGTGAAGGGAGAGGGGACACACATCTAACAGAGTAAGGGGACTACATGGAAAAAAGGCTGGAAAAAACACCAGTACCTCAACGAAAGGTTTATATATTCTGCCTCTATGAAACTGCCTTATGCAAAGCTGAAGGCCGTACAACCCTCAGTAACTGCTGCAATTGGGCTCTACTTTTATTGTGTAGCAGATTAGGGCCCATCTGCTGAATGTTTTCTCCAACTAATGAGCACAGTTGAGGTCAAAGTTCTCACCCTGCCAACTGAAGACGTTGCCATACAATGACACACACCCTATGAGGTCATTTTATTGCAGGGTTTGATTGCAGTGCATATAAGCTATAGCATATATAGCTATTTGTATGATCTCCCTCCCCACCCCATTAAAGATAAGAGAGGGAAAAAACGGCAGCAGAGATGATGGGGGTGCACTAACTGCAAGAAGGAGAAGTTATGTTAATGTTTTCCACGTGCACTGTATGGACACCAAGGTTTGGAGGTGATGAAATGCGTTACCCTTGTTCTCTGCCTCACCTCCCCTGGGAAGCCTGGGCATGTTTTCACCACCTTAGCGAACATGGAGTGAAATATCAACTCAAAACTGGTGTAGAATTGCACCTAGGAGCACGGAGCATCATTTACTTGAGGTAATAAATCTCTCCCACATACATCCAACAACCAACCAAAGCAAGACACACAGACAAGAGACTGCCAAATGCCTGGAGGTCAGTGGGATGGCAGCACACTCTAGCTCCATAGCTGCACAGGGAGAGGTGGTTCATCATCATCATCATCATCAGAGCTTAGCCACAGCTTAGCAGGAACAGCCTGTGTTGCAGATACACAAAGTACGCTACAAACTGGAGCTATCAAAGATGCTTAAAACCCCTTCTGGAAGCATAGAGTGGGTTTTAAGTCATCTCCAGAAATCTGGGAAGCCTTTCTCTGTGCAAGTTTTACACACAAAGTACTTGCTGGAGGTGAAGTGAGTTAGTGACCGGCTCTCATGTCCCTGCAGTTCGGTGTTTAACCCTTCAGTGACCGTTGAGGCAGCACCAGAGGCCCTTGCTCTGGCGCTCTGCTACAGCACACAAAATACACTTCCAGGAGGGTCAGAACCCCTCTTTATATTGAGGACTGCCCAAAGCAATGAACAATTTCTTTATGAATGTAAAATGGACCTTGAATCTATCTTAGATCCTAAAACCCTTCTGCAGAGTCACTGCAGTGGAAAATAAACTCATCTTTAAAGAGCTATTGAAATTTGCCTATGTTAAGGATAAGCCTCAAATCTAAGGTAAAATATCTAAATCATACAATTCATATTGTAAGTTTTCCATATTGTAAGTATTTGATCTCAGGGGAGACCTTAGAGCAGCTCCAGTGCCTAAAGGGGCTGCAGGAAACCTGAAGGGGGGCTTTGGACAAGGGCCCGTAGGGACAGGCCAAGGGGAATGGCTTTAACCTGCCCGAGGGGAGACTGAGATGAGCTCTTAGGCAGAAGCTCTTCCCTGTGAGGGTGCTGAGGCGCTGGCACAGGGTGCCCAGAGAAGCTGTGGCTGCCCCATCCCTGGCAGTGTTCAAGGCCAGGTTGGACACAGGGGCTTGGAGCAAGCTGCTCTAGTGGAAGGGGTCCCTGCCCGTGGCAGGGGTTGGAGCTGGATGAGCTTTAAGGTCCCCTATCTAATGCCATTCTGGTAGCAACAATGTGAAGAGTCATAGTAGTAAACCTGTGATTTAGCAGGTTCAAGTGCTGGTGACAATCCTAGGAACTATTCAGCATTATGGATCGACTGAGTATTTTTTTCTGGAGCTGGATAATGCTGAAATCTGATTCATTTTACTCAGGAGTCGATGAAGGAATTGGGACAACTTTGTAATGAATATATGCTGAATAGAATGAAAGTGACAGTGCTGTGACAGCAGCTTAAGATATCACTTTCAGAATGAAGTAGTACATATTCATCATCCGCGCTACTGGAGCTTGCTTCAATGTTTTATTCAGGACAGAGTATAGAATTGAAAGATTTGAGTTTTCATTCATAATAAGATACGTCCAGACTGACCTGTTTGGATATCTCCTTCTGATGTAGGTAACAAGGAAAACTACATAAAGGACATAGCCTGATTTTCCTTTCCATTTTCTGTAATCTTGCTTTTCTGTCTCAAGACACTGCTGGGGTTAGACCAACATCTGTTGGGAATGGCTTAAGCACATTGATCCTGCTTTAGGGCAGAAGGATGGAGTAGATGACCTCCCAAGGTCACACTGAGTCCCATTATCGTCCACTATTTTCTAAAGGGAATAAAACTACAGGGAAATGACACCACATGCTGGAGATAATTCCCCTGAGGAAATCCCAATCTACATGAAAATATAGCAGCAATCAATAGTTACCTGCAGGGAGCATATATTTTCAGACAACCCATTCAATACAAGCAATATAAAGCTGTGACCCTAAAAGTTCCGCTTCTCTAAACACGGGACAATAAAACGTGTTCTGTTTTGTGGTTACTTGATGCCTTTTGTTTGCAATCTGAGTAAGTCTGAGATTATTGAGGGGAAAATTCATTCTTATTTAAAACAAACCATGCAAACAGCAAAGCATGAAAGAACATCAGTTTCTCATAACTCATGTGCAGAAGGAGGGCAGAAAGAGTCATTTTGCCAGGAATAATTACTGCTCATAGGTGATGATATGTTTAAAACAAAAGAAAAAGCAGACACACAAAGACCTATGTGCACGTGTAACTGAGATATGCAGGTGTCCCACTGCTCCCAAGTGTCATCAAAGGGAACTTTTCCCTTGTCTTAGAGCTTAAGCACACAATTAAGCATTTGCAGGTTCAAGGCCCTAGCCATATGAATGCTAGCCTTCCACTTACAACATCAAATAACAATAGTTAAAGCCTAATATGCCTAAACATTTGCTTTGAATGAATAATTACTGAGAAATTGCTCCTGCAGAAGCACATTGCAAATGTTATAATGAGTTTTTAATGCCGGTCGTTAACCTCTTCCACCTTCACAACATACTGTGGCAAGTCTGAATTAACCTCCAGCAGTTTAAGAGTACTGCCCAGTCACTAAGGTGTTTATTAGGACAGCGCTGCCTGGTTTGTGTTTAGGGTGTGCAGCTGTAAAGGATGTTAAGAAATCGATGACTTAAATAGATCTTAACTGATTAAGAGCAATACCCAATCTACCAGCCAGTAACACTTGGAATCACATTGCTCTGGTTTGCAATCCGCAACAAAAACTAAGGGGACAGAAGACAAAAGCAGCAGAAGGCAGCAAAGCTGTCTGGCATTTGCTATCGGAGGGGGGCTGTGGAGGGGTAGGGATGCTCAAATACATTACATCTATTTGATAAACAACGGGAAATGTTGATCTAGCAACAGAAAATCATAGATAATTTAGATTTTCCCTTTCTTATGCCTTTGCTCCCCTCTAAACCACGCAGCAGTTGTTGAAAGGACAGGCAGCCTTTCAAGCCAGTCACACTTGGGAGGGAAAAACACCAAGTGCTGAAGCCTGTGAAACCCAGAGGTCACATACGGTTGCCATCCACACTGATGTAACTCAGAGCCTGAGCGCCTGTATTCCCAGGAGTGTTAAGAGCCTGAAATCTGAGGATGAATTTAGAAAGCACTAAAGGGCACCAATGCACAGGCAGCTCTGCAGCCATGGCACATGTACAGCTGCTTCTCAAGTGTTCCTGCTCTGCTTCCCCCGACACACGAGAGATCAGCGCCCACATTTGGAGTTTACACACTGTACTAGAGGGCTTGAGTTAAAGAACCCTGCGTTTCAATCCGTCCCTAAGAGGTACTGCAAGTTAATGAGGAGCATGGAAATCACTTCCACATTCCCTTTAATAATAATAAGGAAGAAGTCAAGAGTTTCAGAGGCAGAGCAAGTCGTTATTTGAACTCTTCAGTGTAAACAGCCACATGAGAAATCCATCATGGCCAAAGGGCTGCTAACAGCAGCCAGCTTCCCCCACCCTCCCCGTACATCTAAGCTTTCAGGAAAAAGTGAAGCAGGAATAATGATCCCTATGATCCCCCTGGGAACTGCCCTTCCCTTCCCTCCCTACCCCCCCCAGCCACTTTTCACCTCCTTGTTCCATCCCAAATGCAGGGCCTGCAGTATTTTAAGCATGACCCAACTGAATGATTCTAACGCTAAGAAAGCCAAGCTGAACTACTGCTGCAGCGAGCAAACGGGGGCCCACCATAGGATCGTAGAATGGTCTGGGTTGGAAAGGACCTTAACATCATCTAGTTCCAACCCCCCCCAGCCACTAATCTTCAGTTCCAGTTCCACAGCCGGCTCCTGGTCTCCATCTAAGATATCCGGACAGTCAGCAGGAAGCACGGCACTCAATGGATGGTCCTGCAGGATGCAGTGGTTCTGTGGGTCCCACAGGATCTAAGCACAGCATTCCGGACGGGAGAGCAGCCAAATCCATCCAAGAACAGTGCTTATTCCCTGGACTACTTTTATCCTGCTTCTTCCTAAACCTGCTGGAAAGGCCTCTCTGGGGTGGAGTTGTCCAGCTATGGATTCCCCAGTTTTCCTCTATGTGCCCCAGGATAAGGGATGGTGACGTCCCATGCAGATGCCATGCAAAGCCTGAGCCTTGCTGACTATTCTACTTCTTCAGCACTTTGTTTCATATGAGAAGTTGCCAGATAGATAACTGTTGATGGTGTTGCTTATCAGCCTGAAGGACTAATGAGGTAAGAACAGGTAAAAAAATGGACTGAAACAGAGTGTTTTAAAATAAAAATGACAGATATTTTAAATTCTAAATCATAAGAACTTAAAAGTGACTGAAACAATTGCTGGGAATCTGTGGAGGGTGGAAAAAACGCCACCCAGAAGACCGGAAGACAGCAATCATGGTAGTTTTCCACACAGAGATAGTCCATCCTAATGACGGGTCATAGGCTCCTAAGACTGTAAGAGTTCACGTCAGGGTGGAAAAGGCACAATTCAGAGCAGCATAAGGGAGGGAGTTAAAAATAAACAGCCTGGAATGGGAAACTTCAAAGATTTTCCGTTTATTGTCTTTGTTTCTATTTTGGCAGGACATAAGATAGAAGCCACCCAAAGCAGATGTGTGCCAGCAGTTTCAGGAGTAAGGCTACATAAAGAGTAATTGCCTGAGCTCCTGTCCATCTAATATGTTTCCTGGAACAGGAATCTGATGGATCTCTTCGAGCTGACTCACCCATGTAACATTCCTCTCACGCAAGTCATGGTTTTGCATGGGGAAGTGTAAAGCTCTTTTAGCCAGCTACAACACGAGACTAAAGGTTCTCGGTACTCACACTTTGAAAAGGAACAAAAAAATGCCATTTTTGAGCAATGCATTAAAAATAAAAGACAAATTAGTTATAGAACATTATAGTGTCACAGAACCCCAGACTGGTTGTGTTGGAAGGGCCCTTAAAGCTCATCCAGCTCCAACCCCTACCATGGGCAGGGACACCTTCCACTAGAGCAGCTTGCTCCAAGCCCCTGTGTCCAACCCGGCCTTGAACATTGCCAGGGATGGGGCAGCCACAGCTTCTCTGGGCACCCTGTGCCAGCGCCTCAGCACCCTCCCAGGGAAGAGCTTCTGCCCAAGAGCTCATCTCAGTCTCCCCTCTGGCAGCTTAAAGCCATTCTCCTTGTCCTGTCCCTGCAGACCCTTGTCCCAAGCCCCTCTCCACGTTTCCTGCAGCCCCTTTAGGCACTGGAGCTGCTCTCAGGTCTCCCCTTCAGGAGCCTTCTCTTCTCCAGGCTGACCCAGCCCAGCTCTCTCAGCCTGGCTCCAGAGCAGAGCTGCTCCAGCCCTTGCAGCATCTCCATGGCCTCCTCTGGCCTCACTCCAACAGCTCCACGTCTAAAAATGACTGTGCTAATGTAACGAATGCATAAATGCTAAAGCAAGACTGCACTTGCTGCAGCCAAACCACAGATACTCAAACCCCAAGATAAGAGACCCCACCCCACAGTCTCTGTTACTACCCTGACCCATTCTAACATCCGTCTGGGCAGTGTAATGTGCTGGGTGGGTGACAGATGCACTCAGTCCCATTGTTTCAAACCACATCAATGTGCAACTACTTCTTCAGTCAACACAGTCTTCCAAAAGGCCCCATGCAAGTATTGCTGATGCTGATGGAAACCATCACACCCCACACCTCAGCTCCAGCGTCTGTTATCTTTCTGTTCGTGCTTACTGCTCCTACACCTGCTTATAGCTGGATCCTGGACTTGTGCCTCTACTAAACTCCAGACCCCCAGAGAGAAAGTTATCTGGCCCAGTTCCTTCTCAGACAGCATCTGGCTTCAGATCAGACTCTATTAACCAGTTATCTCTACCATCACTACAGCAGGAAGAAGAGAGATACTTGCTACTTGGAGATTAAGGAATAACTGTTTTGGAAAGCTGTTGTTCTGAGCCCTCCATTATGCTAAATTACACACTATTCCTTTATGAGGAATAGCTGGTTTTGAAAAAGAATATCATGGAATCAATAATTTGAGGGTTAAATTCTGCTGCACCAAAGTCACCAAACAAACAAAAGAAGGGATCTTGCTTGTAAGTTTAGTACATGTTATAAGTTTAGTACACATTTAGAGGATTTCTGTGTTCTCAAAGGGGACTCCACCAGAGGACAGGCTATTCCTTGTTGTGTTAAGAGCCATCGTGTGGTCTTCAGCCAAGACCTTGTAGTTCTGTTTCTCACAGTGGCCATTTTCGCTGGCCCACAGGATGAAGATACAAAGGTCCACCCATACAAAGACACAAGGCAGATGAGCAGTTCTACAAGTCTCAAGTCAAATATTCGGGTGATGAGGCTCTGAGACGTTTGCCATCTCCTTCTAGTACTGACAGTGATACAGGTCTGTCTGTGGGCTGCATTAAATGGTTACCCATCTCTGAGTAACTAGAGAAGCGTGAAGCTGACACCTTCTCCTTCACACCACCAGAAAACCCAACAGTTTCATCCCTCTTCTTTCCTAGCTGTGCCTGCACACACATCTCATCAAGGACTGTTTTCACCACGATGGCTGGGTGAGAGCAACAGAGTCCTGCTGTATGGATGAACACAGCTTCATTCCTGGCTGCCTGATACCATTTTGACACCTATTTCTTTCTTGGAGGCAGTAGAGGAAGGGTGACCAGTTGCTGACTGGGGTAAACCAAACTGCTCTTCCCAAACTTCCCTCCTTGATGTTATATGTTTTGAACTTTAGAAATGAACCAAATAATATAGGAGTGATGCAGAGCTATTTCCTCAGGCTCTGAGGCTGGTCCCTGCTGGTTTTGTATACTTGAGTTCCTTACGTTTCCACAGATGAGTGGAGAAGGAACATCAGAAGGTTTAAGTCTCTGCATGCATCTTGCTGCTTTCTGGCAACATCTTAGCATCTCTTACTCTTACTACACAGTGCCTATCGTGTCCCTACCAGCCTTCTGGTAGCAGTTAGAAGGGTCTTTATGGGCATCTATTGGAGAAAGTTGTGTACAGATCTTCCTTGAAATACAGACAAGCAAGTAACTGTACAGAGATGCTGAGATATGCAGATATCCTGAGAAATGGGGAGAAAACACACAATTTCAGCCCCCAGAGGTGAGTTCTGCTGTTTCATTCACAGGATAGAGGCAGGACAGGAGGCAGGTCCCAACAGATGGCATGAATACTGCATTAGGTAGATGCTGGAACTAATGCTGTCAGTGAGAGGGTGTATGGGTGTTGCAGTTCTAAGAACACAGTTTAATACCTGTCATTTTGTAGCTTCACAAACAACTCTAATTTGCAGGAATGTTACTCATGATAGGCCCACTATACAATTCAGCAGTTAATAATACTCATTATTTTACCCCTTCCCATCATATAACCTGCATACTGAGAAGAATAGCAGAAAATGACTATTTTACTGTCACAAATCAGAATGCATCACATTTGAAGTAGCTTACAAGAAATGTATGTTTTCTTCAGCTAGGACAGCATGGTTATGCACCATTACACACCCATACAATAGTTTATGCCCAATACCACTGAGAGAAACTAGAAACTGGAGGATACATGTAGCATTTGTCAACTGAATTAAGGGAAGGAAGGCAATACTAGAAGGGACCCACGATGATCCAACTGCCTGACCGTGCCAAGGCTACCAAAAGCCTAACCATGCTTTTAAGGGCATTGTTCAAATGTCTCTTTAAATACTGGCAGGCTTGGAGCATGGACCACCTCTCTAGGAAGCCTATTCCAGTGGTCAACCACCTTCTTGGTAAAGAAATTCTTAATCTTCATAATTTCTTATAAAAAATGTGGTAGAAGAGTTTATTGCCTGGGATAGCATTAACTTACAAGCATTTGAAGTATTTTTCTTAGCTACCATTTTTCTGGTTGTTCAGTTATCAAGTTTACATCTTTCAGGGGCAGTGGCAACCAGAAATGGTACCCAGGAAACAGGAAAAGGCCCAGATCACACATACTCCACTTGAAAAGGATTCAGCAAATCTTTCTGCAGTGAAGTCTCCAATCTGACAGAAACCTGTGAAAACAGCCTAAAAATCCTATATATTTATCAGCAAGTTACTGCTATTCCTTCTAAGTTGTGTTTATTATTTAATCCCAGGTAACACTCATTATCTGGAACGTGTTCACCCTTCTGTTAAAATCATGCTAGAATTAGACAATCCACTTGCAGCAGATGGAAACCCAGGTAGCATGGAAAAATCCAAGCATTCAAGTATTAATGCTTCAGAGAAAATACTCCCTTTGGGATGTTCAACACAATCCAGATCATGTTACCTTCTGCCGTCCTTAACAGCACTGAAGAATAACTTAACTCTGAAAGTAGTCCCATGTATTCAATCGGGTGAATTTTAAGGCATTTTAAGGAGTGCAATGCTAATAATCATTAGCTGGGTTGGTACCTTTTGGTAGGTTGGTTATACAGAGCTGAGCATGGCATTTCACAGCGGTTACAATTACACCTTACTTCACAATTATATATGACTACATAAGACTCTCCAGTGTTTGTCTCAGAGGAGAGTTTATTAGTGTGAGCAAAGGCATAGAAAGCTTAGGTCAAGGGTTACTACAACAGCTGAAGCCTTGTTTATAGATACACAGTTAAGGCAAGGAAGTGGGTTTAGTAACCAGTAAGCAGTCTTGTTTTGTCAGGTTATTTTGAAGGCTGTGACGCCACCATCCATCAGGATGATAGAGCTTGAAAATCACCTACACAAGAACAGAACAGAACAAACAGCCCCCAGCCATCAAGAGCAGCAGTGCTTCAATTCTATTCACAGGGTGAAACTTCTTGTCTTACCTTGTAGGCCTTGGAATTGATGGAGATACGCTCTCAGCCAGCTGCACAGCAGCTGGAAGATCTGAGGTGTCCTGACCTCCAGCTCTTTCAGGTCTCTTTTCCTGAGGGCTCCTTTTTAAACCATGTCCATTCCCAGGAGGTTGGCCTAGTTCTGAGTCTTGTGGAGCACCCTAGGATGAGAAAAAGAACAATTTAAACAGCTACTGCTGGTTTGGAGAGTACAAAAGTGTTTGTTTTGCCCATTGACGGACAACCTCTGGGGAAGTTTTCATTACTTTGATGGAACTTGCAGGTTCCAAAGCCAAGCCGTTTTTTTACTGAATGACAGAAAAACAGAAGGAAGTGGTTGAGCCAAAAATAAGCACTAGGAAAAGAAGAAGGAGAGAAGAATGCAACAATTGTTCTGAAGCAGCCACCGCCTTTACTGACCCAAGGAGGGTATCGTCTTCTCTTTTTCCAAGCCTGGCAAATGCTTCCTTGCTAAGCAAGTTTAAAATGAGAAAGGCTGGAAACAGCTCATGAACTTTGTCACTCATAATATCAGCAGTATCTTTGGAGTCAAGTTAAAGTCAATGTCGGTCAAGACCCAGCACTTGAATCCAAGTCCAGATTGTTCCCCTCCCACTCCAACAAAGCTCGGAATACCTCTGAACTGAAATGGAAGGCCTGGTTCCTCATCATGCTGCCTTTTGATAATAACAGCTACAGGAAATGCTGCAGTTTCTTCAGCAAAGGTTATAAAAATGCTATAACACTAATGTGACAACTTCTTTTGGCAGAAGTACCTTTAGAAGGCAAAGAAGATCTGGCAAGAGCTACTTTGAATAGTAGCTGAAGATGCTCTTTCAAGTACAACAAAAGAAGTGGAAACAAGTGTAGAGCAAAAATCATGTTTGAATGAAGGAGCTCCATTTTAACTCCTCAAGAAGTAGTGAAATACAAGGAAAACTGCTTCATCAGGTGACCTTCCTCATACAGTCACTGTTGTTTTAAGTCATTGCTGTAACTTTAAGAAGCCTAAAGCACAGTCAGCATAAAGATACCTGTGTATGGACTGATGACAGAAGCACTTCTGAATAATGTTATAGACAGAAAGCACAGTGCACAGTTCCAACTAACCTCTCGGGGTGCTTTTACTCTCAGTTTTAGGTTTATTTTGTTCCAGAAGTAGCCAGTAAATAGCAGTGATTCACACTCCTTTGCGTGAACACGGTGCGCGCTCGCACAACCAAAGGGTTCTTGCTATCAGAGCCAGGAGGGAGAGACACCCAGTGGACAAGGCAAGCCCATGTAATGAGAAAAGGAAAAGGTCAGGGCACACTGAAAGCACAAACAAGGCTTCCTTTAGACTTAGGGCAGCTTTGATTAACTCTCATATCCTCTGCCTTTCCCCGGAGGAACCCCTTCACTACAGCTTTGTTTGCAGAAGTCTCCTTTATCATACTGCTTTCCTCTGGGATCGACCAAGGGCTCCTGGTTTCATGATCTTTAAGGACTTACCCAGCATGTGCTGACATCTGGCATTTGGAATATTTATCTAAGTATGTACGCTGGCCCCAAATCCACAATATATGGCAGAAAAAGCCTAGAACATCCAGATTCATATAGGGAAATTTGTTTCCTCCAGCCAGAAAAAGAAATATAAAAATAGAGCTTAGCTTACAGAGCTCTGTTCTGCTTTTGGTGTTATGGCTTGGGCAGCCTTGGTTTTGCTTGCGTGAGAAAGTCTGCATGGAGTAGATTTCAGCATATGTACATGTGTGCAGAGAGACAGAACTACGAAGAAAATGCATTATTAAATTGATTATTAGGGAAAATAAAACCAGCCAACCAAAACAGTGAATTCTGGGGTGCTGGTGTGATGATGCTGGAGCACATCCATGGCCAACTGCCATGCACAGACCACCACTACACCCCAGAGCCTACCCCACTTGCCAGTTAGATATAGAAAACAGAAGGCCAAGGTTGGGTTGTTGAGCCTGGTGAAGGATCCAAGGAGAACCTAGAGCAGCTCCCAGTGCCTAAAGGAGCTACAGGAAGCCTGGAGAGAGGCTCTGGACAAGGGCCTGTAGGGACAGGCCAAGGGGAATGGCTTTAAGCTGCCAGAGGGGAGACTGAGATGAGCTCTTAGGCAGAAGCTCTTCCCTGTGAGGGTGCTGAGGCGCTGGCACAGGGTGCCCAGAGAAGCTGTGGCTGCCCCATCCCTGGCAGTGTTCAAGGCCAGGTTGGACACAGGGGCTTGGAGCAAGCTGCTCTAGTGGAAGGTGTCCCTGCCCGTGGCAGGGGTTGGAGCTGGATGAGCTTTAAGGTCCCTTCAACACAAACCTGCCTGGGATTCTCTGAAGTGGTCATATTTATATCTTGGCAGAAGAGGAACTCCTTCAGCTACATCAGCTCAACCCACAGACAGTCAGTCCTTGGAGCAAGCACTGGCCTTGACCCACCAGGGAAGGAGGACAAGAGCATGGCAACAAGTCGGTAAACTCACAATAAGGCAGCCATGGTGCTGCACTCTTACTGAGTCAATGCATCACGTCTTAATATGAGAGCTATGGTTGGGTCACTCTGGGGGGTGGGCCACGAATGCCTCATAGTACCAGCCACATGAAGGGCAGATTTCAAGCCAATTGTAGACAAAAATGACCTCCTTCCCTTTCCCAGCAGGGCAGGGAATGGAGGGGGAACCACATGAAGAACCTGAAGAAATTAGGCCAATTTGCCCAAATGCCTCCAGCAGTTGGCAAGGAGGAAGTGAGAATTAATTCATTATTACTCCTCCTCTCTACTGCTGCCATCTCAGATTTTCATCAGCTGATTTGGGTGCTAGGCAGGAGGAATACCCCACAGGTGTCTTCAGAAGATGAAGAGCTGCATGTTTTGTCGCCTTCTAAAGCCTCTGTCATCTTCCACGGCAGAAGGGAGCACAGCAAGGAATTAAGTCATTAATTTAGTGCATTTGCATACTGCACTCCTAGTACTCACACACTGCTTATAATTAATCTCTCATTCACAACATCAGCCACTTAACTCAAAGGGCTCCTTTAGGTTAAATCCTCTGTTCTAGTGACCTATAGTCATCCCACTTTTGAAGCCACAGCATAATAGGGATGTCTTCTAAAGTGAGACTCCCTTCTGTGCAGAGAACCAGTACCTTTTGCATTGCATCCAGAGCCACAAATCCAACGAGACACATAATGACTACTAATAACAGGCTCAGTTAGGGCATTAGAAAGAAACACTGCTCATCAGCCTGTCGTATCATAAATCCAATAGCCCATTGCTATCAAACCTCAAATAGCACCAACAAAGAGACCTAACTCGGGCATTACAGCTGCTGGATTTTACTTTTACTACTCATATGCCTAATTCACAACTACATAACACAGACGTTTATGTGCCTGCTATACCTGAACACCTCATGTCATCAAAACTAGGATGTTTCCATATTAGACACAGAGAAGGGCCCATGTCCCAGTGATTTTATCAGCTGTTACACCCAGTTTTCATGCCCAAACAAAAACACACTGTGAGAGGCAGATTGACAAGGTAAGGATCACACCCAAACAGGATCCGTCTATGCACTGTTTAGAAGAATCCCTTTAACATTTTCCATAGGCTGATTGATTGGGGGTTTTTGGTTGAGTAGTTGGGTTTGACTGTTTTGGTTTTAAATAGTTTTGTGCTTTCGGAGATCTAACAGTTGAGAAGTTACAGTTCATCTCCCAGCTATCCTTAAGCACTTGTCATTGGCTACAGAAGAATATGACACTTCTTCCATATCTGAGCATGACCAGATTTAACATACATTCATAGATCCCAGGTTTTAAACGTAAAAGGAGCTATGAATATTACAAGGTATAGGAAAGCTTTATCGACTGGTCTTCTGCATTGAATGCATTCATTCAGTCATCACAAAAGAACATCTTTGGTGATGTTCTGTGAATCGATGCCAGCCACGCCATTTTTCCATCAAGCTTTTCAATTTAAGCTGGTTTTACAAATCAGGTGCTGAGCCAGCTCTGCAGAGCACGGGTTTTATTTGTAATTAACATCTGTGGAAACAATTAACGACTGTTTTGTTCACAAGCATCATCAGAAAGCTGTTAAATAAATTGCTTTGGAGCTTTCAACGCATACGCGAAGTGATTTACCGCAGGGGCTTGCAGCTAAGTTTGCTCTATATTCCTTTCAAATGCAGCATACTCCTTTTTGAAAGGGTTCTGAGATTAGACAAGTCCCTTAGTTGAAAGACTGAAAGAAATAACGCTATTAATAGTCAGAATACAGAGGTTCTCAGAAGTTTTAAGCCCAAGATAATTAAAAATACCCAACAACATAAAAACCCCAAGTCTGACACACAGAGTACAGAAGCCAGCGTGCTATTTAAATGAATCAAACTGATTCTCCTACAATATGCAATGTTATTTGCATTAAACCCTTCCACAAGCGTCGGAGTCTGCAAGAACACCAAGTAAATCTGCAGGATCGCTTTATTGCCCTGATGACTTTGAACAGGAGCTTAAAAGTTAAACAGTAAAAAGCAAAAGGACTCTATTAAGGCTGCAGCCAAAGGATTATGTGTGCTGCTGTACTCTGGCTGGAGTTACCATACCAGAGAGAAATTCCTTTAGTGCTACATGGGAGCCTGTTCTCAGCTTAGCTCCCAAAACACTGACACTCCCTGCCTGGTTTAAAGCCATAGCAGCAGCATTAGGCACTGCCACGGCCTCATCCCATAGCTGTTTCAGGAGCCTCGTGTTTCTCAACACACTCCTGATCACAAAGCACAAAGGTGGGTCTGGTTTTAAGCCCAGCGTTCACACTCAACACCCTCCACACAAGTGAACTTGGTTTGATTGCCCTTTCTCCTTTCCCCCCACAAAAGCTGCTTCCTTTTCCATCTGCCCTCTGTGACATTCCTCCATTTAACACACATCCTTTTATAGCAGTTGCTGGAACATGCCATAGCTCTGACTAGCTGAAAGTAATCTTTGAAGAGTTACATTAAGTTTCCATTCCCACTGACTCCCTCTGGTTATTGAGGGGGAAGCTGGAAGGAGCCTTTACAAGTCTCAGTCAATAAAGCAGAACTTACCTTTTATTTTAATCTGTGTCTTCCACTGCAAGGTGGGGTTTTCAATAGCTTGTTTTAAAGCAAGCCTGCTACAAG